ATTTTGTTGTCAGTTGATCCAGGTTGTTGGTAGTATTGCTAATAAACTATTTAAGTTAATGCGGAATATTTTTCTCTAAAAATCTTTTAAAAAATAAATAAGAATATAGTTCATTTAGCAAAGTAATTTTTTTAAAAGAATTCTAAATTTTGATAAACTAAGCTGATAATCTGTCTCACTAATACAAAAGGATGAACAAATAAATAAATAAATAAAATGCAAAGGCTGAAAAAAAAGAGAGTAAGGTTTGCCTTATTAATCCCAAAAAAATGCCAACGAGAGTTAAAGAGAAGCGGCATGGTTAATCTCAGTTGCTTGAAGTCTAAAATATTTTGTAAGACTCAAAAACAAATATTAGCAAGTTTATAACTTACAATGAATTATTTTTTTAAATTACATATATTTTTTATTAAAAAAAATTCACTCAAGTGGAATAAAATCACTTTAAATGACAAAATAATCTTATCTAACTTGAAGAAAATTACTTTTAATATTCTTATAGTGTAAAAAAAGATTTACAACTCGGTACCCAAGTTTCAGCAATAATAATAATAATAATAATAGATAAAGCCGATGCATGGAACATTCAGCCCAAACTATTAAATTGAAGGCAAATGCACTAAACTAGTCCAATCCCTTACGGCCCAACTTATATTCACAAATCACTAGGTGAATTTTTCAATTAATGCGCCAACCTGTTACATATAACTCTCTCTTTTTTCTAGTGGAAAGCATACAAATATGCATATATCTCATGTTACTGAAAGTTCCATAGTATTTACAATATGTGATAGTGAAATTGAAACATCTCATTTTTTAGTAGATATGGAAGACTGAGATAAAAAGAAGAATAATACGATTTCAATCTTCAATAGTTTAACGTGCATGATAAACAAACTTAAGACTGATATTTTATATGATTTGAAAAATAAAATGAAAAGATGGAAGGCAGAAAAAAATAGTGAAAATGAGTAAATTTTCAGGTTTTAAGCAATAAGTGTAAAAAATTAAAGAGAAAAAAAAAATTTTGTTTGGATAGAAACAAAAATGAAATAAGATAATTTTTTTATTAGATAAACAATTATATCCCAAAAAAGAGTTTGAGACTTGAGCTGTGGTATTAATTTTTTTATTGTTTTAGTATAGTTGATGAAGTAATATAAATATTGTTTTAAAATGATTAAAATATAACATTATCTGATAAAATAAAATAAATATTTCTTTATTTATCCTCATTTTGTGTATTCTTATTCTCTTTTCATGTCCTTCTCCCAAATTTTAGATGGAGTTATATAGTCAATGGCAATATCATCTTGCATTGGCACTAAATTTTTTTATTAAAGACTTTTCCCATTACTCTGCATCTTTGTATGTACCAAACAAATTAATTGGATCTCTTCTGTTGAAGTTTGAACCGCGCAGTGTAGTTCTAAATCTGAAGCTGCTTAAGTTTCGAAATAAATTTTCACGCCTCGATTAAATACATAAACAAGCATTTTCAATGGTAAATTTGGGCACCTGCAACATATCTTGATCAACCAAATATTAATATTTTTTAAATAAAGATATTGGTTCGTGGTTGAATAATTTAATCCTTATGAAATTAGAGTCATTTTTATAATAATTAAATACATTTTTTAATATTATACAATGTATTAAATAATAAATTAATTTAAACTATTAAATAAAATTAAAATTTAGACTACCAAATACATTCATATTCATTCCCATATAATCCTAACCAATCTTGCTTTCGCGACATAACAATTGTGACATGGACTTTGACATATTGTGGTCTTTTTCTTTTTAAGTTATATAGGTGATAGTTTGAACAACTTTCCAACTGTTATTGTAATTTTCAAAGCTCGGACGAATTGTGTAACAAGCAAGAAAACCGAGTATCCAACCAATGCAAGTTTCCTTAGTGTGAAAAACAATTATTGATAATTATATAATATGTTACTTTATTTTTACCTTTTTAAAAATATATACAAAAAAATATAATTATTTTGTAATTTTTTCAAAAAAGATAAAAATATAAGATATATTTGCTCATTATTAATAAAAGTTAAAAATAAAAAATAAAATATGTTCTCAAATTAAATGGACTATTAATTTTAATATTGGACAAATCCTGGTATTGACATGTTTTTGTGTATTACAACTGGTCAAAAGATAAATTACATATATATTGTCGATTTTTTAAAAAAATTAGCTGTTTAACACATCGATTTATGCAACAATTTACAAAAAAATAATAATAAATTGATGTGTCAAGTATCGACTCAATTTATCAAAAAGTTGTGCTGACTTTATATGTCTATGCAAGAACTCCTCTTTCATCACTTTGTTAATTAGTTTGATTAAATGTTATTTATATGTTTATCAATTATAGAGGTTGATTTTCAAAACCCTTGACTTCCAGAAAGCACTAATCAATCCTTTTACATTTCAAGCAATTGATTATTTTGAATGATCGACCGGTGTCCATCAATGAAGTCAATTATTTACTACATTATAATTTGAACTAGTTTATAGTATCTTTTTTTATTTTCAATTTGTTGCAATTTTGCGCTGGAGATTTATCAATATTTGTATTTTTTAATTATAAGAAATTATATATATAATAGATAATAGATAAATTATCAATTTAATTATTTAATATTGTTTTTTATTGTATAGCTAAGTACGCAATAGAAACTTATAAATCATAACTTTTATTAAAATCACAATACACCACATAATGTAATATATTAATAACATTAACTGTTACTTTTTTTTAGTAAAAATTATATTTTTAAACATACATTTAAAAAATTATTTAATATTATGAGAATATTTAAAATATTTTATAAATATATAACTATTTTATTATTAATTTTAATAAATTAATATTTTTTTATTAAAAGGATGGGGAATATCTTTTAGCAAGATATATGCTTCTGTTTTTATCCCTTTAAGACACGTAGTCAAAATTAACGATCTTACAACACCGACTATTTTTAGTTTACATTAATTTGGCTGATCATTCAAAGACAGTTAAAATTAATTTAGCATTGTTACCAAAAATCAAAGTAATAATTAATCAAAATTCAAGCAACCGGCGAAGAATCGTACAAATGTTTTAGTACCATTAAACTTTTAATAATTTATTAAAATTTATTTTTTAATACATATCTAAAGTCTAAAGATATATAATAAAAATTTATACATATAATTTTTTATAAAATATTATAAAAATTTAATACAATAATAATATGAAATATTTTTTTATAAAATTATTATTTCATAAATATTTATTGTATACTTTTAAACACAATATATTGAAAAAACCGATTAAAATATCCTGCACGAATTTTCTCTGTTAGTTGATGTCAAACGTGGACTCAATCAAGGAGTCCAGGGGGTCTGTGCAGTTCAACATTTACGAATCCGAAAAGTTCTTTTTCAAACCTTCATTCGTCACAATTTACAAAACCAAAACTTTCTTCTTCTAAAAGTATACAAATAAAAAAAAAGAGAGGGAAACATATCTATTTTATTAGTTTTAAATATGTTGAGTGTATAAAAAATTGCAAAAAGAATATACTATATTATAGTTTCAATACAAAAATTGTTTTAAATTTTTTAACTAATATGTTAATTGATAAATATTTTTCATCGTTTTTACATAAGCAAAATATCTGTGGGAGTATAATAGATTCTCTAACCTATGCATACTAAGAAATACAAATCCTAATAGAGTTGTTTAATACAATCATTCAGCAAAATAGACATGATAAGTATATCTATAATTTTTAGCAATAAACAATACCAAGTCCTGTCTTTAGTTAAGTCCAACACACCTATATTATCGAAGTTTCGTTCTTAAATAATATCACATTGCCATAGAACCACAACCTGAAAGAAAAATTGCATTATGTTAATTCCAATCGTTATTAAGTGCACGCGTGTTTAATTTTAAGTTGAATTCATACGTAAACACAAAAAGCTTTATTTTATAGCATTAGCCAAGCGTACAATTTGATAATTGATCTGATTCTAAACACACAATAAACAGCCTTTGTCGCCTATGGATAAAGAATAGGCCGGAATCAATGAATATCCTTGCACAAAATCTTTAAGAACTTAGACTTCATTAATAGGATTGTCATTCACTAAAATAGAGCATGCCCTATAAAGATGTCTATTCTCATTAAAAATAATATATTTCCTCATTTCTTTGCTAAATCAATCACCTAATTAATAATTTGTCCCATCCAAAATTTGTCTATTCTCTAATGTAACGTATGACGAGAATTGATGGCATACAACATATTAATATAGAAAATAGTAAGAGTATTGATACCTCAATTTAATATACTACAAGTACATACTTTAAAAACTCGAATAAAAAAATCAAAAAAATAAAAAATAAAACATAAAAACTGCAAAAATAAATTCTTAATATTAGATTGGATCAAATTTCAATCCAAATTTAAAAACCAATTTTATCATTTTATTTTATATGAGTAACATTAAACAAATAAAAATAAGCAATAAAAATAGGATTGTATTTAATGGTATGTTTCCATATGGTTTAACGAAATTGATTGTTAATTTAATCCCATGCAAACAGCTAAATAAGAAACTTTTCACTATTAGATGAATTAAATTCTAACGAAATCGGTTAAAATTTCAACATGATTTGGTAATTGTTGAATGAGATAAAACAATAAGGACCGCAACATCTTGAAAATCAACAAGCATACAAGTCATTCACTAAAATATTGCGTTTACTATCATTCTAGAATATAAAAACATTACTCCTTATGTGATGGTAGTGTGGAATGGAAAAGTTACCGAAAGTATTGTCAATGTGGTCAAATTAATAGCTGTTCCAATTTCAAAGCTTCGGCCTACCTCCTCAATTTTGGTTTCATATTTGGGCAACCTACCCAGTGAAAAGCTTATAAATATAGCTATTATCTTAGTAGCCAGCACTAAACCCACCACCAACATCTAGCAAATCAGTATCTTATAGTTCGCTGAAGTTTACACGAAATACATATGGCAATTAAAATGGAGAAGCTTGCTACCATGGTTTTGATTTGCAGTTTCTTTACAGCACTAATTGGTTTCCTCTCCTTACCAGTGATGTCTCAAGAAGTTGGTTAGGATCTATTTGCTTCATCATGACTTTGTTCTTAATTTGAATGACATGCTTATCAGAAATTTGAATGACTACACATGTTGTTTATGCATTCAATATAAAGTTTCTTTTTATGAATTATTCTGTCAAACATCATCTTTAACTTAAAAGTTCTTGCATTTACCATTTTCTTTGCTTAATTTACATGAGCCACATATTAATTAAATATTTAATTGTCTTTTGTTGCAAGTACAGAAGATGAGAGTGAGTTTAATTACGATGAAAAGAGCGAAAAAGGACCATCTCGTTGGGGGGATATACACCCCGAATGGAGTTTATGCAAAAATGGATCCATGCAGTCACCAATTGATCTATTGAACGAGAGGGTTGAAATAGTATCACGTCTAGGGAGGCTTCAGATGAACTACCAGCCCTCCAATGCCACTATTAAGAATAGGGGCCACGATATCAAGGTTAATAAATAAATTAACAAATTCAATAATCTAGTCTGTTTAATTTGTTTATTTTTATAATTTTTTAAGAAAATTTTAAAAAATGATTATTTCTTTAATAATAATATTTTAAAAAAGTGATTATGTATTATTGTAATCACCACCTCCCAACGTTATTTTCTTTCTCGATCTGCTGCGTCTCCCTAATAATAATTTTGATGCGTGAATTCAGCTGGAATGGGTTGCTGGCGCAGGCTATCTTCAAATTAATGAAACTAAGTACGTGCTCAAACAATGTCATTGGCATTCTCCCTCTGAACACACTATAGATGGCAAAAGGTAATACATGTATTTAAAAAAAAATACAAATAATGTTAAGATACTGCATGTGATTTCTATCCACATTTACAAAAGTATAAAGTTATTATTAATACACCTTCTACGTAATCTTCAATGTTTTCCAGCATAATTTTCAAATAAATTTTTATTTTTAATAAAAAATTTAAGAGTAGTATTGGTTAGAAAGAACAATATATAAAATATTTTTTAATTAACCTGTACCCTGTAGACGGGTTAAAAAAACCCAATTAAAAAAACAAGATGAGTTTTTTTTCTCTCTATTTCATAAACATAAAGCAGCCACAATCGCTGGAAGATGCACCTTTAATTGCACCACTATACCTGTACGTAAAAAAAAATTGTTGAAGATTCAATCACACTGCAGGCTTGATCTAGAGTTACACATGGTGCACGAAACTCCATCAGGACAAACTGCTGTGATTGGAATACTGTACAAGATTGGAAGACCAGATTACTTCTTGTCATCGGTAAATTAATTTTCTTTGTTTTTGTCCCTGACTCTGTATAAATTGACTAAGTGTGTGAGGATTGATATATATAATAAAAATGTTGGACTTGAACATTTTTTTTTTTTCTAGTTAACGGATCATTTAATGGCCATTTCTGATACCACGGAAGCAGAAAGAGTGGTGGGTGTAGTTGACCCTAGGCAAATCCAAATTCTCTACAAGCAATATTACAGGTATCTTGGATCGTTGACTATTCCTCCTTGCACCGAGAATGTTACTTGGACCATCGTTAGGGAGGTACATTTGTTTTAGGTTGTTCAACAATATTAGCTTTTTTTTCTTTAACTACTTTTTTAAAATATTTTTATGATCATACTGTGTTGAAACTTGTTTATTATATTTATCAGATACGATCCGTTTCAAATGAGCAAGTCAGGTTGCTTCGAGTTGCTGTTCATGATGTAAGTTAATATGAATTTTTTCAAATATCTCACATAAGCAAGGGATAGAAATGTAAACCATGCATCTTGAGACCCTCTTTGTGAGTTGCTAGGATCTTAATTAATAAGCCGGGAATAATTGTTAAGAGACTCCATAACTTTGTAATCTTTACATCACATATTAATAAAAAAGAAAATTACATTATCACCATATCTTAGATTGACTAATGGCTCTCCTTATATATTATAATTCCCAATTTTAATTCTTTACCTAATGTTTCTTTTATAAAAACGAAAAATGTGTTTATAAATATTAAAGATTAGTTATTTATTTAAAAAATATATAAATACTTTTTAATATTTAAAATATTAAAAAATTACAATTATTAATTCAAAAAAAATATATAATACTCTTTAAATTTACGTGCCGTAACAAACACTAAATAATTTTTTTCATATTTTCATAAATAAAGAGATTGTTTTATATTTTTTACATGTATAATAATTATATATTAATATTAATTTTATATTAATAAATAATGAAATTGATGATTTATTTAAAAAATATATAAATACTTTTTAAATTTTAAAATTAAAACTATATTAATTAATTTTTTATATATATATAAAGGAAATATCTTTTTATATCAATATAAGTTTAAAAAATTTTATATAGTTTTTTATTTAATTTAAATTTAACGATCAATAAAATAATAAATTATAACTCGTTAATTTAAATTAAATAAAAGACGTGAATTGATTGTAAAATTTTTTACACACCTATATATAATATATGAAATATGAAAAAGTAGATTGAGATTGAGTATAAGAGTTAAACTCTCACGCGAGGACTCCATATATATAATATCTTTCGAATGTTTCCGTTTTAAACTTGACACCTTTGCAAGAATCAGACACTAATGCAAGACCACTCCAACCGATAAACAATCGCTTGCTGCAACTCTATGGGCCAAAATATCTTAAAGATAAGCATTGAAGTTCAGAGCATTTGCCGGTGTAAATCGAACTGACCAAAAGGATGATGATTTTGTAATTTGTCGGAAATGGATATTGTTAATCTCGATCGGTTATGCGTACGTACATTTTTATATGCTTGGAGTTTTTATCCAATAACATTGTTTTAATAAAAGCTACCAAACCTATCTATTCCCAGTATATACTGTACCGTATCCTTTTTTGTCTTATACTAACTCTCTGTGATGGGTAATTATAACGTATTATTTACATAAATTGTGTGTCACTACTGTATAAACCATTATTCATATAAACATACATAATTTACAATGCCATAACTTACATAGATTGTGCCACCAGAAAAGGTACAACTTATAAACATCACTTATAATAACAAAATTATACAGATTTTAAAAGTATTAAACAATGAAGTAATTATTTGTTTTAACATCTTACTTTATTTGAATTAAACAATAAAAAATAATCTAATAGGTTTAAAATTTACTGTTCAGTAAGTAGTGTCCAACTTGTAAAAAAAATTTTGTAGAAGAAAAAATTAGTATAAAAATAAATAAAATTTCTCTTATAAGTTAAAAACTTTCAATTTATAAAGAAGTTAAATATAGAGTTTTTTAAAATTTCTAAAAAAAAGGAAATATAAATTATTTCTAATAGAAGCTGAATATCTGCCTCTAGTACAAATAAAAATACAATTAGAAAAAGAAGAAATAAAAATTAGTCCTTATAAAAAAATTAATAAGAATACTGAATCAGTAGATAAAAAAGATATAAATAAATTACATCAACAACTAAATTATTCTAATACAATAATAAACATAATGACTAATCAATTAACTAGAATAGAAAACAATAAAGAAAACAAACCTAGTACTAGTAATATAAAAAACATAACATCGATCCCTTAATTTTCTTTATTAAAAGGATAATTTATATTGTTCTTAATACAAGATTTTATCATATTTTTGAAATCAAAACATAACATCGATCCTCGTTACTTTGGTATCAGAGCCTAAACGGGTTTTGATTTTAGAGGGGGAGAGAGATTATAATGTCATTTTATATATATGATTATCATCATTTTTTTATCATATTTTTGAAATCAGAACATAACATCGATCCTCATTACTTTGGTATTAGAGCCTAAACGAGTTCTAATTTCAGAGGAAAGAGAGATTATAATGCCATTTTACATTTATGATTTTGGAGACTTAGATTTTTATTATCCTGTTGATATAAGAAGAAAATTAAGGGAAACTAGAAAACTTTTAAATCAAACTCAAAATAGTATTCAAAAGAAACTTCTTATTTTAGATATTAAAAAAAATAAGGAAGATTTAAAAGTTTTGGCAAGAGCTTGAATTTTTATATGCATATCATTTATCCTGTAATCATCTTTTTGCCATATCTTGAGTTAATTATAATTTGTTTAAAATAAGTTTGTCATTAAGAATCTAAATGGGTAACAATGAGAACTGTTTGTACGTTGGTAAGCCTGGAAGGTGTTCCCGGTAGTAAGTCCTGAGTGTGGGCAGTAAAACCGTTGGTAAGCCTTAGTGTTCCCATAGCCTTTAGGATTTAATATGGCAAATTTATTAAGAATAATGAGTAATATAGCTTTAGGTAGAAACAGAGATATAATTACAAGAGTAATGAGAGCGGAAAATGAAAATTCTTCCTCTTCACCAATAACCTCTTCTTCTTCAAGCACACCACAACAGATCACCATAGATGATTTAAAAAATCTTTACATGATTGGTCAATACCCATAATTAAAGAAATAAATCCTTTAAAAAAAATTAGAAATGTTTGGAAGACCACCACAGGAAAAATAATAGAAGTTGAATATTTGCCTCTAGAACAAATAAAAATACAATTAGAAAAAGAAGAAATAGAAGCTAGTCCTTATAAAAAAATTAATGAGAATAGTGAATCAGTAGATAAAAAAGATATAAATAAATTACATCAACAACTAAATTATTTTAATACAATAATAAACATAATGACTAATCAATTAACTAGAATAGAAAACAATAAAGAAAACAAACCTAGTACTAGTGATATCAAAAATCCATGGTACTTAGATAAACCAATATACCCTATTACTACATTATTAGCCCAAGCTATGAAAGAACTAGGAAAGAAATCTGGAATTGAATTAGACTTAGAAGAAATTAAAATAAAAATAGCAAAATTAAGCTTAGACAAACCTACAATAAATATATTAGAAATTAATAAAATTTATGATCATCCCAAAATAAAACATTATTATAATAGACCTACTCTACCCGATGTTGCCTTAGAAAATAGGCCGCACTTTGTACAAAATTCCTATGGAGGTAATAACATCGTTGAATGGAACATCGATGGTGCCTCTGAACAACAAATTTTTGATATTACACAACAAATGGCTATGGCAGCTACTGCTTACAAGATGAAAAATACTTCTGATAGAGTAACCACAGCTCAGAGGATGGTGGGACAATTATGTAAGTCTTGCAGACAGAGAATTTATATTAGGACATGTTAAACAAGAAAACAATGAACAAGATACTGTAGTAACACTTATATATACAATATTATTACATTTTACAGGAGATCCTATAATATTTAGAGAAAGAATAAGAGAACAATTACATAAACTCAGATGTCCAACTATGTCTGACTATCAATGGTATAAAGACATGTTTATGTCAAAATTAATGATGTTAGAAGATGCTAATGAACCATACTGGAGAGAAAGATTTATTTGTTCTCTTTCTTCCTTATTTGCAGCAAAAGTTGTAGAACACATTAAGAGTAGATTAGGAGAAAATATAGACTATAGAACATTAACAATAGGACAATTACATAATTTTGTCATAGATACAGGAATAAAAATATGTGGGGACATAAAATTACAAAATCAAATTAGGAAACAAGAAATCATAGGAAAAGCAGAGCTAGGGAGTTTTTGAATGCAATATGGGATAGGACCAATAAAAGCCCCTAGTAGACAAATTAAGAAAACACGTAAAAAAATACAAAAACAGAATACTCCTAATAATTATCAAAAGAAACCATATATGAAAAACACTTATAAAAAGCCATACAAAAAGAATATTACTAAACCGCAACAAAATATCAATAATAATCAATTTAAAGGAAATTGTTGGAAGTGTGAAAAATTTTGACACCATGCTGACAAATGCAACGTTGGAAAGAAAATCAACTATCTTGAAAGTGAAGAACTTAAACAAATCCTTTATTTAGTTTTAATAAACTCTGAACCAGAACCAGAATCTTTAGATAAAAAATTAGAGGATGAAAAAACACAAGAAAATGAAATTTATCAATTAGATAATACCTCAGAAGAATCTGAAGAAGAACAAGATTTTTGTTTAGGACCAGGATTATGTAATTGTGATGATTGTAAAATTTCACAACTCAATACCATAACCAGAGACCAAACCTAATCCTTAATAATAATAATAGAAGATCTTGAAGAAGGACCTTTGAAAACAGAGTTTATTAAAAAACTTAATGAATTTGTTACCAGAGAAGAACTAAAAGAAGTAGTAATTAAACCTATAGAAATGACAGAAGTTTTTAATAGGTTTAAAACTCCAAGTCAGCAAACAACAATAAAAGACTTACAAAAAGAAATAGTAAATCTAAAAACAGAAATAAGAGAACTAAAAGAACATAAAAAAGATCTAGAAATTAGAATATTATCTCTAGAAGGGAAAGAAATCCTAAAATTACAAGAAAATCAACCTAGTATATCAGAAGAAAAAGAACAGCTAGATATATTTAATTTAGAAATATTAACATTAATAACTTCACACAAATGGTGGTGTGAAATTACCCTAATAGTAGAACAAGAAAAATTTAATTTAATAGCACTACTAGATTCAGGAGCAGATGTAAATTGCATGCAAGAAGGAATAATTCCTACAAAATATTATGAAAAAATCATAGAACAATTATCTGCTACAGGAGGAAATAAGCTTAATATAAATTATAAACTGTCAAAAGAAAAAATTTGTAAAAATAAAATATATTTTACTACATCATTTATATTAGTAAAAAATATAGGAAACAAAATAATATTAGGAACCTCATTCTTAACATTATTATATCCTTGTGAAATTAACAATACAGGAATTATTAGTAAAGTAATACTAGATAGGGAAATAAAATTTGAATTCTTACAACCACCAAAAGGTAAGGAGTTAAACTTAGTACAAGAAGCCTCAATAACTAAACTAAATTTAATAAAAAGAAAAACCAGACAAATCAATTTTATAAATAAAGAAATAGAATATAAATAATTGAAGAACAACTAGAAAGTGAAAAAATTAAAAAGATCATACAAGACTTTGAAAAAAGAATTATTAAAGAAATTTGTAATCTAAATCCTATAGCTTTTCACTATAGAAAAAAATATGAAATAGAATTACCATATAAGAAGGATTTGATGAAACAAAATTTTTCACAAAAGCCAAACCAATACAAATGAATAAGGAACAGTTAGAATTCTGTAAACAAGAATTATAAGAATATTTAGAAAAAGGACTAATAAGACCTTCGAAATCTCCATGGAGTTGTACTGGATTTTATGTTAATAAAGCTTCAGAACAAGAAAGAAGTGCACCTAGATTGGTAATAAATTATAAGCCTTTTAATAGAGTATTAAAATGGATAAGATATCCAATACCAAATAAACAAGATTTTATCAAAAGATTTATTAATGCTAATATGTTTTCAAAATTCGACATGAAATCAGGATATTACCAAATATCAGTAAAAGAACAAGATAGATATAAAACAACTTTTGTAGTCCCTTTCGGGCATTTTGAATAGAATGTTATGCCCCAAGGATTAAAAAATGCCCTAAGTGAGTTTCAAGAGATTATGAACAATATTTTTTATCCATATATGAATTTTTCTATAGTTTATTTAGATGGTGTATTAATCTTCTCAAAGGGAATTAACCAACACATACAACATTTAAACAAATTTATAGAGTTAATCAAACAAAATGGATTATGCGTATCAGCTAAAAAAATAAAAATATTTCAA